GGAGAGAGAGAGAGAGAGAGAAAGAGAGGGGGTCATGGGGACGGGTGTTGGGGAAGGGGATGACAATGAAACTTTCTATAACATGTCTTGGTGAGTATAAGCGAGTTTTGTGAGTGAGTGAATGAGTGCTTTTGTGTGTGCGTGTGTGTGTGTGAGTGTGTGCGTTTGTGTGTGTGTATGTGTGTGTGTTTATGTTTGTGTGTGGGTGTGGATGTTTGAGAGTGTTCTTTTGTGGATGTGTATGGTCTGACTGTTGTAAGGTTCAGTCAAAGGACACAATGATGTATAAAAATATTATCTTTCTCATGGAGGGAGACCATAAGAATAATATGTGTTTTTTGAGGGGGAAGTGGTATTGTGGTTGTGGGCGTGGGAGAGGAAGGGAATGGGTATGTTTTTAAAGGGAGGCCGATGATTGTGCTGTGCATAGAAAGAGGGAGGGGTTCATGAATGTGTATGGAAGAGGTGAAGGGTAGGGAAAAAGACGCAATGGGAAAAAAATACCATGGAGAAAACAGGATCCGGATGAACAGCGTAGACACATGTAAGCGAGGAAAAGGTACATTGGTCAGTTTGAGGGACGCGTAGTAGTATCCTCCCCGCTTTCTCCCCCCCCCTCCATTCCCCGCCTCCCAGGACCTAGAGGTCACGTGAGGTCATGCATGAAGGAAAACTGTAGCCTTCAGGGATGGACAAGACATACGTTATTACTCCAGTCAGAAGTCAATATGCTGTCAAATGCTTTCCTCAGTCTGTAAGTTGACAATAATATTTATACCTTGAGTGATAGGACTGTGTGTATCTTTTGAATGAAAAGTACTAACAAGTTGGGATTGTTAGAACTAATTCATATTGAATATTCTATGCATAACGTTAAATCGCTACCTTAGAATTAGTCTACAAAGGTCTGGATCTTTCTTCTCAGTACCCAGTTTGGGGAAACTTGACGTTAAAAAATTCATTTTGAGTTTCACATATCACATTTTTTCGAATGCAGTTCTTTGAAAATCTTGATAACTACTCTGAATAATCTTACGATTTTGATAGAGCATTTTGTTTCTGACCTCATAGTAACTCGAAACGGCCAAAAAAGTCAGACAGAGCTTTGTAATTCTAAGGTAACGATATAGTTGAGAATATACTGGCTGACTAACTTTGTTATAATGCTTAAAAATCGTAACTAATTGAGGCAGCGGGATCTCGACAATTCATAATGCTTGAAGACTTGTAGACGCACTATATAACTATTTTCTTTTTTTTTTTTAAAGGATGACTTCATTGTTCATATAGAGCTTTCAACTCTGTCTTGCTTATCTAAAACATATTCCGATGTCAGTATGATGGTGCAAAAAGTGCAATAACAATGACATTGGTCTGCTGTTGGTAGAACACAAGCATGTGTCCACTCCATCCTTAAAGAGATGAGACGACCTACTTATATCAAACAGTTGGGGGACTGACGACTAACTTTAACAATAAACTCCTGTTGGACATTTAATGACATATATTTTATGTGGCATCGTGCTGAAATCAGGCGCTGGTCAAAATGATAGAACAGAATAAATCGATATTCCCCCCGCGTTAAACAATTCTGATCAGTTTTTATTGTTGGTTATTGTTCAAAACCCTTTACGTCAACTCAAAACACATTACTGTATTACTGTATGGATTTTTACTATAAAACGTTGATCAAAGGCACAAAAGAGTGTGCATTGGCAGTTTCCAAGGACTTTATAGCTTTGGAATTCCACCAAACTTTTTCGACCATTCTCTTGCAATTTTTATTTCTGACCCCGGGCGACCTCCACCTCTTTCAATCGCAAACATCTCAACTTTTGTTCAAGATAGATGGGTACTGTTTTAAACCTAAAGCAAGACAAATGAAGAAGCTTACAAATGATACCAATTACACTATACACCCCCAAAATTGCCAAGCGCCTTATTTCATCGTGTCGTCACACGTTCAAAGAATAACATGTGTTCTTCGGTAATTTTAAATGCAGAATCACCATAAAACGCTAAATTATACTTGGTATTGTTATGAACAGCGTGTACCAAGTAAGCACGGCAATCTAATTATTCTGGGAGGGGGAGGGTGGAGGGGGGTCATTAGTTTAGTTGTACTTTTTTAGTTTGTAAAACCGTAGCTTTATAGCAGGCGAACAAATCAAATGTTTTAACCAAAGAATACCGAAGAGAAATGTATGTCTTTCCAGATGATGTCACTTTGGCGTATACCAATCAAGCATGGAATATTGTTTGTTGGACTTCGATGAAGCTGTTCATTTCATTTTATTCGTGTTTTCAAAAAATGCCTTTTTTGGCATCACGATTCAACATTTTTTTCATTGCCGCATTTCTTTAATGACAAAATCTAAATGCTAAGATCATGATGTTTGCTCGCGGGCAAACAATTGCAATCATCTACATTATCATTTTTAGACCCAAGCTTTGAGATAATGTGAGCGCAAACCGAAACGCAATAATAGGCAAAGATCAAGAAGGGCCTGTGAATGGGTAGATATATTGATAGAGACAGAAAGAGAGAGAGAGAGATAGATAGATAGATAGATAGATAGATAGATAGATAGATAGATAGATAGATAGA